TTTTCTATAAATTTTGATGGCCCTTAAATATATATGAAACCCCATATATACAACTCCTACAAAACTTTGTACAGTTTTTGTAGAATATTTACAGAACTACAAAAGCAAACAGGCAACCCAAACAATTAGTAAAGAACTAGAATAAATTTTTCTTCAAAATAACAATGGACAATAAGCAAATGCAAAGAGGCTCCTCATGTAGGTTTAAAAAAAACCCAAACAAACTCACTGCCATGACAATCCTTTAAGAAAAGGGAGAACTGCCCCTGTGGGTTTCTGAGATTGTAACTTTTTATTATAGTACAAAACCTCATCTTCCTCCCTTGGAAGAGCTAGTGGTTTCAAGCTGCTGCCCTTGTGGTTTAGCAGCCCACCACTATGCCACCAGAGCTCTTATCATTTAGGGAAATGCAGATCAACCACAATGAGATACCACTTTACACCTACTAGAATGGCTAGTAGCAAAAAACTGAAATAAGAAGTGTTAGCATGGATGTGGAAAAAGTAGAACCCTCAGACATTGTTAGTGGGAAATTGAGTGGTGCAGCAACTATGGAAAACCATTTGAGGGTTCCTAAAAAAATAATCATATGACTTAGCAATTCCACTCCTGGGTTTATATACCTAAGACTTTAAGACAGTGATACAAACAGATACTTAGATATGAATGCTAATTGTAGCATTCTTCACAAAAGCAAAAAGGTGGAAACAACTCAAGATTCCATCAGTATATGAAAAGGTGAAACACTGTACATAAATCAATAGTATCCTTCTCAATCATATGAAATTCTGATTCATGCTGTGACATGGAAGAACCATTCTACTGAGTGAAGTACCATATATGCACATGTATAAGCCGAGTTTTTCAGCACAATATTTATGCAGTTTTTGTGGTAAAATTAGGTGCCTCGGCTCATATTCAGGTCGGCTTATACTCGAGTACATATGGTAAGTAAGACACAAGGACAAATATTCTGATCCCACTTATATGTATCTAAAATTGTCAAGCACAGAGACACAAAATTTGATTAGTGATTAACAGGGGCTAAGGAGAAGAAGGAATAAGGAGTTATTACTAAGAGATGCTAATTTTATCTTTAGGTGATGAAAATACATGGTCTCTATTTATATATCAAAAATGGTTAAAATGGAAAATGTTGAGCTGTATTTTATTATAATAAAATGTTTAAATACAGTAGCACATATTAAGAGAATTGTTAGTGCAACTTGTTATCTAAGTAAGTGATCATGGTGTACTACCTCTGTACCTCATTTCTCCTCTCTGAAACAAAAAATAATATTTGTGGCAATAAAATATCACTGTTAACTGAATTCTTTCTTCCAAGGATTCAAAACACGTTTTTTAAAAAAATCAAAGAAGTTCCTTTAAGCTCTAGGACTGACTACCAAGGACAAGAAAATACGGAATGTCCCAATAATACCTCTTAAATAAAAAAATACCCGAAACAAAACTATGTCTGTTGTGTTTACTACTGTAAGTCCAGCACCTAACAGTGCCTGTTACTTTTTAAATCATTTTAAAATAAATGAATCTTGTCATATTGGGGAAGACCAATCCGTTATCTTCCTAACAACTATTCCTCCTTTTTTCCTCATTAACAGATCCAGTACTGGTGGCATTTTTTTTCCCCCAACATGTAGAATTACAATGGGTATGTATGTGCCAGTCATGCAACCTCATTATTCTTTCCCTATTGTTTGGAAAATGGTGTGAAACTTGATTCTGAACAATAACATTAACAATGCCTGGGAATTTCTGGGATAATTTCTCTCCTTGATAGACAGAAGACTAAGGAGAATGTCTTTCTCTTATCACTCCCTTTCTCCAAACTTGAGCTATTATGATGATGGCATGCTCTTCTAGCTGTCCTTCAATCATGAGGGGGCAGACAAGAGAACTTCAGAGACTCCCAGAGAAGGAACCCTGGGATTGCCTGCTCCCAGACTTCTGGTTTAGTCATAAAGGCCCATTTAAACCACAGTCGTTGCACTCTTTGTTTCTTTCAATCAGACATCTCCTGTTACAAATATTAAGCACAAAAGGGATTATTCTACAGATGTGTTGTTGTTATGGAAATACTAGTTCATCACCATTCGGGATTGTTACCTTTGTACTTATGAACTGAAATGATACATGCTTGTGGCATTTTTCTAGCTTCTCCTGAAAAGGGTCACCAAAATAGGATTCATCATTTTCAAATTCATTCAACACTTTTGACACTA